GGCAAGCCTTCTTCCCTGACCCTCTTAGATGTTCTCTGAGCTGTCCTTTATTCAATGCCTTTCTGCTTAAACTGGAGTAGATTTTGTTGTGACCAAGAACCCCATCCAAACTCTCCTTTATTGAGGTGCTTATATTTGCCAGCGTTTCCCACACTAATCTCTAAGTATGCCTTATAGATAAGAGCAGATACAACGGATGTCTCTCTACCCCTCCTCCAGACTAGAACCCACACGGCACCTCATTCTTCATGTTACAAATTTGTTTTATGTCATATGTCAGCTTTACAGGTCTCATGGAGTACTTGTTAGAGATAAGTGTGGGAAACACTGGCAAATAAAAAGACCTCAAAGAGTGAGAATTTGGATGGGGTTCTTGGTCACAAACGACAGAATCCACTACAGTTTAAGCAGCAGGACATTGAATAGTACTCCATAAAGCAGATATTGTTAGCCATTTTAGAGATGAAGAAACCAAGACACCAAAGAGTAACTTGCCCAAGGCCACGTGGCTAGTGAGTGGTGGAGCTGGGTTTGAACCTAACCCCAACTGACTGCAGAGCCCCGCAGATGGAGCGTGCCTCCTCCCACCTCTGATTGCTCGCCTGCACCTCACTGCTTTTTCTACTTCATAGCACTTATCACAGCCTAGGATTATGTTATTTATTTGCTTACTTGTTTTCCATCTCTTGATATTAACATATCAGCTACATAGAAAGCAAAGACCAGTCCTTGTTCACAATTGTACCTACAGCCTTGATATCGTACTTAGCACAGCAGGCATTCAGGAAATATTCATTGGATGAGTAAATGAATTGAACCAGTCTACCATGGATTTCTTTGGGGGAGATAATCCTACTTAGCATTTCTGTTAAACTCAAAAATAAGTTCAGTACTTTTTAACATGTGTTTTTTTCATTCAATAATAACAAAGTATGATGTCTTATGCCTCTTAGAATCCGAAGCTGTATCTAATGCCTGTTTTTCCTGTATTTCCTAGATATTTAAAGTCCTTCCAACGTCTGTTCAAAAGTGCTGCAATGCTTGTCCCTGGGGTCTGCATTCCCACAGCCCAGACAGTTCCAGGGTCTCTGGGGCAAATGACAGCCCCGTGGCAGAGCTGGACAGGAGTAAAGCCACTCAGTTGATAGTTGCTTTACCCTTCACTAACTGCATGTCTTCCAAAGTCCCATTCTGGACTGAATCTTGGTCCTTGAATTTGGATAAGTTATGGAACCAGAATAGTCTCAGCTTTTTACCTGTGGGAGATTTGGGGCCAAATGGCCTCTTGAATCCATTGAACACTTGGCAGGCATCTCTCACCTTGCACCCATTTGTTTCTAATTCCTTCATTTCAGTTCAAACCCCAAATCTCTTACCCTTATATCCTTTCCCGTGAATTCTCCATTCTATATTCTTTTGGACCAGTGTTTCATGATCACTGTTTTACAAATAAATAAAGACCAAACATAATGACATTGTGCCCAATTCCTCCTCCAACAAATTCCTTGAAGATGACCAGTTTGAGTTGTTACTTCTCTTTCTCTTTTGTTCTTTCTTGCTCATTCTTAAGGTCCAGAGTAGAGAATTCTTGATTAGTTTCCAGAATAACCAGGATTGTAAGACCCAGCTCTATATCCCTCCTCTTCAGTCCACCCAGACAGGCAAATCCTGACACTGGAATACATTTAATGGGTAGAGAGAACTTCGTGAGAAAGGTACCGTGAAAAAAGCAAAGAAATCCTGACGGGATGTTTGTTTTCCCTAAACTGTTACATGGCAGACTACCTGCTGCAATGGAAAGAACGCACGCTTGTGGAATGTTTCCAGGCCCATTTGAATCCCAGTTCCTCCACTTACTGGCTGTGTGACCTCAGACAAGTTGCCTAACCTTAACCTGTTTAAGATTCAATTTCCTCATTTGGGAACAATCCTTGTGGGGTTGCGGTGCAGTTTAGAGATAATGTGTATAAATTACACAAAGAGCAGGCACTGCTCTTACCAAAGCCACGTCAGGGCCTGACCTGGGGCACCCTCCATTCCTGGCTCACTGCCCTGCCCAACGCATACATATACACACACATACACCTCACACACAAACACACCCCTCACACACAAATACAACCCTATCCCATACTCATACACACTGCACACACACCATACATATTCCATACACATACATACACACCACACACCTCACATACAAACACAACACTATACCACACACATACACACGGCATACACACCACACACACACACCTCACACACAAACGCAACATTATACCATACATACACATAAACACTGCACACACACCACACACATTCCATACACATACCATGCACACTGCACACACAGCACACACAAACACATCCCTCATACACAAATACACTATACCATACTAACACATACACACTGCACACATACCACACATATTCCATACACACACCATACATGACACATGCACACCACACACACACCTCACACACAAACACAACACTATACCACACACACAAGCACAACACTATACCACACACATACACACTGCACACACACCATACACACCATACATCTACCACACACACACACTATACACACATACCTGCCACACCACACGCAAAAACACCCCACACACAAACACAACACTATACCCATGTGTATAGTGAACCAGTATACCATGGAAGACATACACATAAACATACAACACTGCACACACACCACATACATTCTATACACATACCATACACACCGCACATACGCCATACACACACTTCACATACAAATACATTATACCACACAAACATATATACATCATATACACACCAGACACAGCACACACACTATACACACTTACTAGACACATATACCCCCCACCCCTCACACACAGACCCCACACACAAACACAACTCTATACCCTACAAACACATATGCATACACACTGCACACATACCACACACACACCACACACACATTGTACACACACTATACACACCACACACATGATACACACATATCACGTACACACATATCCCCCCACACCCCATACACACAACTTACAAACACAACACTATACCACACGCATACACCCTGTACACATTGCACACAGACCACACACATGCATACACATGCAACACACATGCATGATATACACACACCATACACACAACATACACCACATACAAGCACATACACATACCACACACATGCACACACACCACACAATCCACACACCCACATACAAATGCACATACACACACATGCCACACACATATGCAACCCCACAGTAAACACAAACATAAACACACCACACACATACATACTGCACTCATATCACACCCACATAAACTACAAATAAATACACATACTACATATAAACACACATCACACATACAACACACCATGTACAAACACACACTATACCACATAAACACATACACCACACACACTGCACGCATGTACAAACACCACACACATGCATACCACATATACACACTGCAAAAATAGACACACATGAACATATACACACATACATTATACATATATCACAGACCACACACACACACAACATGACACCAGACAAACACAAACATATAGCATGCCCCCCCCACACACACACATACACGCACACACTTTAGGCCCCTTTCTCATCCTCCCTGTTGACCTAGTGAGAATGGAGAATCTCTGCTATGCTTTGAAGATCGTTAAGGCCATGTTGATTTCACTTAGAGAAAAAAGGATGAAATTTCGCCATTCCACCAGATAGGCTCGAGGAAGTAAATGGAGGGAAAAAACTGCATTACAATTTGGGGAGAGGTTAAAAAAAGGCTAATAAACTTTGGGAGGCTGAGGTGGGCAGATCATGAGATCAGGAGATCGAGGCTATCCCAGCCAACAAAGTGAAACCCCATGTCTACTAAAAATACAAAAATTTGCCAGGTGTGGTGGCTTGTGCCTGTGATCCTGGCTACTTGGGAGTCTGATGCAGGAGAATCTCTTGAACCCGGGAGTTGGAAGTTGCAGTGGGCTGAGATCATGCCATTGCACTCCAGCCTGGCACAGAGTGAGACTCGTCTCAAAAAAAAAGGCTAATAAAAAACCCATCAACTTTTTGGTTGTAGTTCTGGCAAAGGATCTTGGGGAACAGCAGGTCAAAACTATTGCCTAAAAGCACATAAGGATTTAGGGTGGTGATTTGTCTCCTCTTTTCAGCTAGGTTACAGTCAGCTCCTGTTTTCCTTGCATGGGCTTGCTGGGAGAGATAAGTACACACTAGCAGCTTCACCTTCAAATTGCATGAGCATTATTTTCTTCAGAATGCCTTGAGTGTATATTGTGTGATGACGGGGCGACTCTTGGGATGTGTCAAACCTGACAGCCATCTGCCCTGGTTAAGCCCCACAAGCTTTGGGAAAATAGCAACTTGTTTAGATTTATATTGAATTATGCTTTTGAACCAGTCACTAACCAGGCAACTTAAAAGATACACAGTCTTTTTATTTTATTACCTGTAATAATTTTGTTACATGTAATGATCCTTGGGGTGGAGGCAGGATGAACCAGATGTGGGAAGTAGGAAGGTTCCTTTTTAAAGTTTCTTTTCTTGTTGAAGAATAAATGTGCTAATAACTTTGTTAAGCCCTATCCTATGTAGCTGTTACGTGCCATGCTTACAGGCACATAGTACATTCTATGTCCTTGTACTTTAACCAAGGTATCTGTTCTGGATGTGCCCACAGGCATGTCCCAGCTCTCCATTGCTTTTACCTGTTTAGAAAAATTTTAAGTTATTAGCCAATCTGGTTTTAGTTTAAATTGTGAGGTCTGGCTCCAGCCAACGGAGATCAGACACAGCAATAATGATGACTCCAAATGCGTAAGGGATAAATTTGTGTTTTCCTTTGTTCATTGTACCCTCTGGCACGATGGCTAGCAAGAGTACCCTTCCTGCACTTCAGGAAGTAAAAATAGCATTGCTGAAAGAGGCTTTGTGTTCACTGGAGCACACCCTTTTTCAAGGAGAGAATTTAATTTCTTGAGCACTACTTGGTCTTAGCACCTTACCACATTCTCTTACGACAGCTACACTAATTAGATGCTGTTATTCTCTCCGTTTTGCAGATGAAAAAACTGCAAGTAGCCTCCTTGGGTACTCAGGGTAATGCTGCTAAAAATGGTAGAGTCAGGACTCAAACCCAGGCAGTTAAACTCCAGAACCTGTGCTCCCACCTACCGAGGTATGAAGATGCCATCCAGCACAGTGAGACTGGGGCTTACTGTCATCAAGGTGCAAGATCAAAGGCATGCCATCAGAAGAAATAAGCTTCCTCCTAGGACACTGAGCGTTTTCTATAAGGAAAATTAATGCTCAGGTTGGAGAAACATGGACATTAATTCCTAGACAAAGCAGTGAGAAAATCAGCTGTGAGGCTCGCTGGTGGGAATAAGCTGGGGCCTGGGCTCCATCTCTGCTCTCCCTCCCAGTGCCTGAGTGATTCCTGTTGGGCTTATTTGGTGCTTTGGCTGGAAAAAGACTGTCGTAACCCTTGTTGGATGTTTGGCATCCCTGGCCCTGTGACACTAAATGCCAATAGTGTGTCCCAGTCACTGTGGCTGTCCCCAACCCCCCTCCATTTCCAAATCTTCCCACTCTACTTGGGAACCAACCAGAAGGCATGAGATGCTGGAGTCGGAAGCAGGTGGGAAGGGAGGGGACAGCACCCTCCGCTGTGTTTGTGGAAAGGGGTGGAGTTTCCACTGTAAAGAGGAGGGCTGGGTGGGGCACCCGAAGGAGGGGTCTTCGTGGATGGGGTAGAGGCTGAGAAAGGGAGAGAGACTGAGGTCTGGGGAAAGGAAGCTCTGTTTGAAGCCTCAAGCTTGGGAAGCCTCTGCTTTATAAGTTGAAGTGATAGTCATCCTGCTTTCTCATGGCCCGCTGCTCTCGGAGATTATAGTCTGCTCTGGGCTTGACCTGGGAAAGGTCCAGTAGGCAGAAAGTACACTGGGAAGAGACCACCGTGGTTCTGAAACACCTTGCAGTGGCTCCAGCCAAGGGACCGGAGGCAGCCCTTTTCACCCCGAAGGGCTCTGTGGGCCTGCTGTGGCACAGAGGGCGCCTCCAAGAGCGGGATGTGGTCGAGCTGCAGCAGTGGCACGAGGGATTTAGGAGGGTCCTCCATCTGGGAGGGCATTTCGGAGAAAGCCACACTTAACACTGAGTTATATGCAATGCAGTGTGAGCTTATCAGACTGATTCAAACCCCTAACCTTGTCTAGGATGTACCGGGGGAAGCTGACCGTGGAGGTGCTATGCAAACCTGTGTCTTTTCTCATGAACATTTTAAAGAAAATCAGTCATTCCTCAAGAGAGAAGGCAGGTGTGGGGCCCACATGGTATGGTGGGGTGGTGGATGGGCCTAGTAAGCCTGCTGCTCCCAAGCCGCAGTGAGAAACCGGCTGTGGTGATTGGCAGGTCGGGCACCTTCACACAGCCTGCTGCACGGGTGGCACAGGGCAGCTATGGGCTGGTGGTGACGCCCTGGATATGAAACCCGGGAGTGTATCCGGGAACCACAGCTGACCATCTTAAGGAGGTGCTGCAGGGAAGGAGAGTACCAGGGACAGAGCCATAAAGGAGGGAACTCGGATTGGAGGAGCCAGGAGCAAGGGCGGTGTATAGCTGAAAGAGGGGGATGCACTGGCCCCACTGAACAGCAGCTTAGAAGCCCTGCGGGTAAACAGCCATGGCTGGGCCCTAGGCAGGGAGATACTGCATTTACCTTTGCGGAAATTCATGAGGGAGTTACATGTTTTTGACTGAAAACAATAGGAGGCCCAGTGGAAACAAAGAGACTTAGAAATCCAGGCTTTTTAGGATTGGATGCTTGCCTGAAATGCCTCAGAGCATAGAAGACACTTGGATGCCCTAGGGGTCAAAGTATCTACTGGATGTGGACTCACGAGGGCCAAGGCAGTGGAGGATTGTGGGGGGAGGGATCCCTGGGGAATCCCGAGCGGGTATCCCGAGGGTACACCAGTCCTCCCTCTCACTACACCAGGCACCTTCTTCAAGTTTGAGTCTCTAAGTTATTTCTTAAATCCAACCTAACCAAAATCCGGTCCCCAGACAATCCAAACATTTGAACACTCAGCTCTCCAGAACTGTCTTTATTTCTCTTATCCATCTCTACCCACTGCCCTGGTGACTTGGGTGATCTTTTCTGGTCTCACAGCTTTGATTAACTTCTATTTGCTAAGGATTCCCAAGTTATATCTTCAGGCTGGATCTACTTGATAGCCTCACTTGATGTCCACTGGATTTCTCAAACTTGACACATCCAAATGGAAACCTCTGATCTTTTCCCAAAGCCGCCACATGACTTGCAGTGCTCCCCATCTCAGCTGACGGCCATGCTGTGACCTGGCAGTCAGTCATCCTTGATTCCTCTTTCTCACACCTGTTTAACACATTGGCACGCCCTCCTGATGCTTCCTTCGATGTCTCACCTGGGCTTCTAGAACTTCTCACCACCACCTCTGCTCCTCTCTTGGTCCACGTCGCCGTCAGCCACCAGGTAAATATGACCATGGCTTCCCAGCTGTGTTCCCTATCTCCCACTTTGCCCCTTGCAGGCTAATCTCAACATAGGTGCTGGAGTGGTCCAATTACACTATAAAGCAGCTCATGTCACTCAAACCCTCCTATTCCCCATTTCACTCAAAGTAAGACCCGAAGTACTCACAATGGCATCACATGCTCTGCCTGTTTTGGCTATGATGAATTCTCTGACCTCACCTCCTTATACGACTTCTGTCATTCACATTGCTCCAGCTACATTCCTGTCTCTCCCACATACTGTGGGGGCCCCTGAAGGCCCATGCACTGGAGGCTCCTCTGCCTAGAATGCATCTTCTTGCATATCTGCATGGCTCTTTCCCTCACCTTTAAAAAATCTTTGCTGAAACGTCTTTTTAGCCAGGCCCACCCTGACCACCTTAGAGAGCAAACAGATCTTCCCGGATCACTAATACTGCTTATCCTCTTTACCTTACTGTATGTTTTCCACAGCAGTTGCCACCAGTATGTAACATACCAAATTGTGTATTTATTTCATACATTTAGCCTCTTTTCCCTCACAGGGACATAAGCTCCATGAGACCAGAGATTTTTGTCTGACTTGTCCAGAGATATAGCTCTAGTATTTAAAACGGTGCCAGTAGGAGCTTAATACAGATTGTTGAATGAAATGTTCCCCTTAAGTTGGAATTCCTTGGGGGAAAGGATCTATAGGGATCTCACCGAAGTGCTTTCTGGTGCCTCTTGCGTTTCTACTTGCTAGCCCTTCTTTTTGTATGATTGCTTTCCATTTAATCGTTGGACAGCCATGGCATCTGAGATTCTAAGTGCCCTCCACACAGCCTTGCCTGTTTTCTCTGTTTTTCTGATTAGGTTGTGCTGATTTAGTGAACCGCCCTTTGGAACTCACCTTAGCCACTCTGGGAACCCTGGATAGTATCTCAGCATGGCCTTTCTGGGCCTCCTGAGTCCCTACCCAATCCCTGACCCAGCAGTTCATGAAACTGAATCCCTTCTGTCCCTGAGTGGGACTCCGGGTGCCTGTTCCTAGTTCTCCTAGAGTGTGGCTCTGCTTTTTTTCCTTCTGAGCAAGAAGCTTGGAAACAGAGAGGTAAAGGCATGGATGAGAAATAGGGAGTGCATTTGAGGACACTTAAATACAGCCAGGCAAGAAAGTTAAAGAATTTCTTTAAGGCTGGGGATGAGAATTGCTGTGTGTTCATTTAATGAAAATGACACAGAAGAGCCAGCGTTAAGACAAAAAATAATTCAGAGATTCTAAAAGTTAGAATTTATCAGTATGTTGAGAATTCTTTAAAATTCTAATAAGTTTTCAACATTTGTGCTATTTGCTGGGCTTAAAGAAACACAAGAAACAAAGAACAAGAATTGCCTCTTAGGTAGGACGATGATGTCTAATGCATCTACTTCCCATACTATATTCTATTTCCATTTCATTCTGAGATCTAACTAAATTTGCAGGTTGCCATTGGGTTTTCAACACTGCAGGGGATGATTTAAATCTAAATAATAATAAAAAGCCACTGCTTTTATTGGACTTTTATTTTATAAGTTGATGGAAACATTTCATATACACATTAGGTTTTGTAACCCAATCTTCGTTCTTGCTGGGTCCCGGAGGGGCTGTGTTTCTACTTGGGAGTTCCCTTGTGTTTGCATTATCCCTCCAAGGCAGAAGGAGAAATGCTTTCACTGAAGCTAGGATAGCATTTTATTTGAAATAATTCTCATTTAAGGCAAGATACACACATTTCAAGTGCACACACAGTCTCTCTTACATAGGCTGCATCATAAAATCACAGAGCTTTGGAATTGAAGGGACCTTAGAGATCATCTGTTCTAACACCAGCGTGTTACCTACGAGAAAGCTCTGCCAGACAGGTTAGGTACCTCATCCAAAGCCACAGGCAACTAGTGAAAGAGACCAGACTACAATTCAGATTCCCTGACTCAAGTCTAATTTTCTTTCTGCTATACCATATTGACTCCAAAATAAGATAATGTATATGAAATCACTTTGAAAACTGAGATGCATTACACAGGTATTGAGTGTGGAGAGAGAGAATTATAATCAGCTTGCTTTCTTCAGAGGTGAGCATGACTTGCTCAGGTCTCTTCTCAGATAAAGTAAGTTCATGGTGTGTGAATCATGAACCATATTTCTAATTAGGTTTCTGACTATGGCCTCCAGAAAATGAGCATCAAAGGGGTCAAACCAAAATACAGTCTTCATTCAAGTCTATCTAGTATATAGCTCTTTTTTCCTTCCTTCTCACCCTCTCTGTCTACCCCCCTCTAGTGTCCACCTTTAGTTACTGCATGTGTGCCCTGCAGAAAGGCTGCATGCCTGCTGCACTATCCACCACGTTCACTATTATTTGTTCAAATTACCCTCCTATTTCTTGATAGCAGCAGCTGTCATCAAGAGCAAATTAGGATGCTTTTTATATCAACAGGAATAAGTGACTAATATAAAGACTTGGATATTAAGAAAAGTCTTTAAAATAGTTTTGTGATTGGAATGATAACACATTCAAAGTTTGGTTATTAAATTGTCTTTAATAGACTTAACTCACATAAGAAGTCCTTATAACTAATTGAAATGTTTTAATTACAAACAGATATATTAAGGTAGAAGGCCTATTAAATTAACTAACACATTCATTAAAAAAATTAATTACTACTTTACTTAGAATGCTGTCAGTTCCTAAATATTATTGCAAATTACTTGAAGGATTAAAATTTTATTTTGATACTACTAATAGATTAATTTATTAAGTCTTATAGTAATTATGAATAATGTTTAATTAGTCCTATGTTGCCTTCTCTAATATAGATGTACCTATATATCTATATTTATCCCTCAGTTACTGTAATGTGTTCCCTTGAAAGAAACACACCTAACTTCATACTCTACTAGGACCCTTGTTAATGTGTAAAATATTGACAAGAACACTCACAACTCATTGGTAGGAGATTCTTTGGTAGCATTACCTAAATGCTCTGAATCAAGTAAAACAAATAGGCTGCTAACAAACATTTCCTAATCTGAAAATATCCATTCAAAAGTCTGAATGATATTTACAAGAAAGAGCCTTCCACCATGTTCCCAGCTCTTTTCAGCCTGTGACAAATAAGTCAGTGTGCACAGTGAGAAGGGGAACCGTGCATGGCTCTCCTGCCTCGTTTCTTGAGTTGGCTCTACCTCCTGTCTTGATCCTTCACTTGTCCTTCCACACTCCTCATTGCCTGGAGATGCACACATGCCCCCACGCACACCCGTGCACACGCACACGTGCACTCTGAAGGTCAAAAGGCAAGACGTCATCTAGTTGGATGGCTGTAGCTGGGTCTCAGAGGTGCACGGCTGGGAGCACCATGCTTGCTGGTTCACTTGCCGCTCAGCAGCAGGGAGTGCTTCGCTGACAGACTCCCACTGCTTCTTCCCCTCTTGAGAAACTGTTACACAACACAGGGATAAAAATTAAGCTACAAATAAAAATACTTACAGGTTTAAATAGAAAGTAAATCCTATTTTAACATTCCAAAATTATGCTCCAAAAATCTCAGCTACACAAATTGCTAGAGTGCTTTATTGACCAGGTGCCTGCGATCTGCATGGGCCTTGTCAGGGGTGCTTTGGGAGGAGTGTCACTGTACCCGTGAGGTAGGAAGCTGGGGTGATTATTGTTTCCACTGCCTATACTTTTTCCTTTACCTCCTTCTGGTGACAGACCTCTCCTTCCTCCCTGTAGGAGTGCATGCGTGACCCAGAAGAGACCAGTCACAACTGCTCATATCCAGCCACAGGGGTGAGTCCAAGGACAGACACAAGGCATGGCAGAGTCCTTCCCTGAGACTGTGCTTCTCCATGAGTCTGACGTGTTATCTTCTGGCCTCCTCTGTTGCTGCTTCATAGCTTCGAATCTGCTTTCCCTGTTCCTTGGATTCTGCGTTCAATCTTCCCATCACCACAAGTTGCATCTTCTCCCAAAGAGGCAGGGGTCTGTAAGGGTGCAAGTCCAGATCTCTGGTCACCAAGGAAGCAGCTTTTCAAGGATGTGCAGACCAAGGGAAGAGGCAGGAGTGGCTGCCTAAGAAAGAATGCCCTCGAGCCACTGTCCCCAGGGCCAGTTGCACCCATATTCTTCATTTGCAGTTTAGGATTTTCTCCCCTTTTTGGCATAAGTTAACTTGAATAGAGTTAGTTACTTGCGAGTGAAAGAACTTTAATACAGAAATGATTCCAGGATTTAGGTTGGAAGACCCATTAGTGAGGCAGCGTTTGCAAGTGACAATTAGCTTAAGCATAAAAAATAAAGGATTGGCTTGAGGAACAAAAATGTATTTTACGTTCCCCTGGATTTGAGCACTCAAATGATATCTTTGGGATCCCACGGAAGGCATTCAGAAAATGCCAGCGCCAAATATGCCACTGTCATGTGCTGATGACTTTGAAGCGAGGGCACTTAGGGAACAGTGATGCCGGCAGACACTTTCTCTGAGCCCCTTATCTGCCTGAAGACCGATCCTCCAAAAGGAGCTCAATTGTCATGAATCCCCTCCTGCGAATCTTCTCAACTGGGGAAGATTAACTCGTTTCGCAGGAAAGAAGAGGAGAGGTTGGCACCAGCCCAGGCAGATTGTTACCTCTGTTCTTGAGACAATATTTGTTACTGGAGAGACTTGTATCTACACAACAAGACAGCCTTTATTCAGCACACATTTCTTCCCCTCACGCTCCCATAACCTGTATCTCCACCACCCCCAGAAGCCCTAAGCCCCTATTCCTTTCTGTAGCTCAGGGTACTGCATAAGCTTCAATCACCTGGCCCTGCTTCAAGGTTTATTCTTCAGGACTCCCGTGCATGTATACATAATTAAATGTCGCTTTTCTCCTGTTATGCTGTCCTATGTCAGTTTAATTCACAGCCCAGCCAACGAGTCTAGAAGGGTGGAAGGAAGCCACTTTTCGCTCCCCTGCACCGCTTTTTTCCCAACCCTCTGCTCTGTCTTCCCCAGTGTTCATAGCCTGGGAGTTACTTTATTCTAGGGTGGCTCTCACTGCTCGTGGTAAATGTCCCCCATGTTGCACTCCGCCTCACTTGAGGAACTTCAAGCTTGCAAGGTTCTTAGTTCCCACAAAGCAGAAGGAAAATGAGAAAATGTCCCTCCCCCCTGACACCCACATCACCCCGCCAAGTGAACTAAACACTGAGTCCAGAGGCGTGGGTGCTCCACTTGGTCAGACTTGCTCTGGGCCTGACCTGGAGGTGGAGCTACTTTCTCACTGCACAAGCAGGATTTTTGCCATAGAAATGGGAGAAGGATGACCCCCACGGACCCCCCGACTCTTTGGGAGAAGATAAAACTTGTGGTGAAGGGAAGATCGAACGCAGAATCCAAGGAACAGGCAAAGGAGATTAGAAACTATGAAGCAGCAACAGAGGTGGCTGGAAGATAACATGTCAGGCCTGCAATCCGGCTGGCCACTGAGACACTGGACATCCGCAGAGTGTCTGCTGGGCACGAGCAGCAGCACCAAAGCAATGCACATTTTGGTTGCTGAGTTATCTCCTGAAAGGGAATCAGCACAGGCATCTTGCAAAGCAGTTCAAGGTGGTCGAGTGGCGGATAGCAAAGGGGAGGATGAAGTGAACAGGACCAACCAGCCATTTTACATCTGCTCAGTTGGGATGGCGGCATCTTCTGGGCACCTAGGATGTGAAATCTGCAGGTAGCATTTTGTTTTTTCTCTCCCTTTTGTTTATTTAACTGACAAGAGAGTTTCTCTTTCTTTTGGTTTGACTATGGTGAGAAAGGAAGATGGGCTGAATTAGCTGTAGATGCCTTTCTTGGAGGACTAGGAGCCCTTTAAAAAGGCACAGGTGTGTGGTGGCTACATGGTATCACCTGGGATTTACTCCCATAAATGGGTCAGGTGTAAAAGAACGGCCGTTAATTAATGCTGATTAGCTGAAGATGCATTGCTTACCCTGACTGCTCAGCATGGAATGTGTGAGTTAATTCCAGGAAATCTAATTACTGAAGTTCCTAGTTTGCCTCTCCCTCCCCTGCGATGCTAGCATTTGAAGCATTGAAAGCATCTTTAGGGAGCCTGCGTGTTACTTTAGACTCATCTCTCCTCCCTGCAGCACGTGGCCTTGGAGAAATGGGTTGGCAAGAAATCCCAGCCTGAGAATTGAATTATAGAAAAAGGAGATGCCTGGCTTCAGAGGAGAGGTATGGTTTTGTGGGGGACGGGGGCAAAGGAGATAATCTCATCTTTTTCATAGGAAGGACTTTGCCCTTGGGGGTACCCAAAAGCAGAAGGGGATTCAGAGTTTGGTCTAGTTAGCTGTGGAAGTCATTGGCAGGGCAATAAATCCATCCCAGCTGAGAAAACTGTTTACTTACAGAACCAAATCAAGCAAGTCGGGCCTTAATAGGCTAAAGCTGGTTGGCTGCTTCCACTCCTGCATTTGGTTCTGTCCTCCAAATACTGATTTAAGGCACTTTTGATTTCACAAACTCCTCTCAAACCTGGACCAGGAGATGGTCTAACCTTGGCCGTCAGCAGGTGGAAAGGCAGATGGACTGAGGAGGGCAGGAGAAGGAGTCCTTGAGGGTTTAGCTCCAGGCTCCAGGTGCCTGTTCTTGCAAAGGGGCTGCCATGCCTAACGTGGCCCTGAGACTTTAGATCCTGCATTTAAACCGGCGTCAGCTGGAGATGCTAGAGGACTAGAAGACAGGTTCTTGCCCTTCTGGAGCAAACAAGCAACAAATAACAAACCATGGCAAGAATACCTACAAATGTTGCTAGTAACTGGGATAAGCGCAGCTGTCAGTCAGTGCAGCCTAGGTAGCCCAGCAAGGGACTTGGGGGGTCAGACACGCAGATGCGATGACGAAAATGTGGAGCTGGGCTAGTCCTCTGGAGGGGGCAGGGCGGGGGCTTGATTTAGGTTCTAAAGATGGAAAGAGAAAAATTGGCTAATAAATCAGTCGGTACCCACTGAGCGCCCACTCCGGGCAAGACTCGGCAGGAAGGACTGGAGTTCAAGCCAGAATGTTTGTCTTGATTTTGCTGGAACGGGGTCTCTCCAGCCACTCTCACCCAGACCCCGCTGAGGACCACCCAGGGGGACAGGAAGTGAGGAGGAAGGAAGGCAGGCAGCAGGGCCAGGAAGCCGGAGTGAAATTTTTACCTGCTGCATGGTTCCTGCAGTGGCCAAGAGAAAGTTTCCCTTCATCCTCTGAAACTTCACTGAAAAATCAACTCATAAAAGGCAGATCAATCAGAGAGATGGTATACAAATTTATTAACAAACATGGGGGGGGGAATCACAGAGGGATTATCCTACGTCCATGTCACAAAGGGGTACAGATGATTGTATACCCTTTTCCTCGGAAGAAAGGGAGATGGGGAAGTGTGGACGAATTTAGAGGGGTGGTAAATGGTTTTTAGGGGAATTCAGTGGGCTTTGAAATACAATGACCTGGGACAAAGTCTCTTGGGCCCACAGAGCAGACCACGGTTTGTGACAATTCTGCCCAAGTCTGTTAGACTTCAGTCTTTCTTCCCGTGGTAGGAGATTCAGGGAAGGGACCGGAAGTAACTTTTCGTCTTTGGCTCTGGACTTTAGGCAGGTGATATGGTTTGGCTCTGGGCCCCCTTCCAAATCTCATCTTGAATTGTACTTCCAGGTACAATTCCCAGGTGTTGTGGGAGGGACTTGGTGGGAGATAACTGAATCACGGGGGCAGTTTCCCCCATACTGTTCTCGTGATGTGAATAAGTCTCACGAGAGCTGATGGGTTGATCAGGAGTTTCTGCTTTTGCATCTTCCTCATTTTCTCTTGCAGCCGCCACGTAAGAAGTGCTTTTTGCCCTCACCACGATTCTGAGGCTTCCCCAGCCATGTGGAACTGTAAGTCCAATTAAACCTCTTTTATTTCCCAGTCTCCAGTATGTCTTTATCAGCAGAATGAGAACAGACTAACAGATGAGGGAACTCCAGAGAGCAGCTTTCTCCTGTGCTTTGGGAGAGACAGAGGATTGAGAGACAGGAGGGAGGTGAAGGCCAGAGAGACCTGGAGGCTGCTGCTTCAGTTCAGCATGTTGGGGTGCCATATTTTGGGGTATTGGTTCCTAAGCCCAAACAGTATCGATTCTAAATAATAATTAGAAGTAGGACGAAGTCCCCTGCCATTGTGCAATGGGATGTGTTGGCTGGGATTCAAGTCTGGGATTCAGACTCCGTGGGTGGGAGATGATAAATGTCATATCTCCCCTAATTTCTCTACCACATTCGGAAACAATGGCCGTCATTTCATTTGTTATAAAGGAAAATCAAATATGCCTCTGAGCTCTCAGGTACCAGTGATAAGAAGTCAAGATTGGTTCTGGGTTAGCCCCACCCCTCCCTGGGGATCTTGTAGAAATCCCAGGGAACCCAGGTGGAGCATGATGTTCTGGGGCAGAGCCCCTGGTTGCCACACCCTTAGGGTCCCTGCTGAGGAGAGAACAGGAGGAAGGGTGTGCCCACTGCTTCTGGGCCGAGTAGGATCCTGGCCGAGGCTCCCAAACTTCCAGGCCTGGTGTCCATCTCCTGGCCACCCACACATGGCACCCTTCAGAGAGGGTCAGCCACCTCTGGGTGGTGTGTGGGAGTGGGAGGGGGCACAAGTCCATGCCACTTATGGACACCGTCATCCCTTCCTGCTCTCTGGTCTTGAGGAGATCACCCATCTCTCCTCCTGGAATAAGCCGTTCCCCGACTTGATTCCTGCAGCAGCCTCTGGAATTGTCCTGGTCCTCCGATATGGGGTGTGTTTGGGTGAATGAGGGCACGTGTGCATAAGCATGGCTATCTTCTGTGCGTTTGCAACTTCTGGCTAAAGCTCTGAACTGCAAATGCCAGGAACTCCCCAAGAGTGAGGAGCTCAGATGTCTACTACAAAGGCTGGGATGGGAGAGGGATAAATGCCTCTCATTCTTTGACTCCCACTAAAGCAAAACCAACACAAATGACTCAGTAAGTTATTCCACACATACCCGTTTGCATTCAGGGCTTGGTGAAAGTGCCTCTCTCTGCAGCTGCCTGGTTACAAGGGGGCAGAGAAGCCTGGGAACAATGAGATCAGGGTCCTGAGAGTGCTCTGGTTGCTCTTACCTCCTTACCATCATCATCACTATCACCATGAGCGCACACACATGCTAAAGCAAGAAAAAGTGCTAAGTCTGACTGTTTGGGCTGACTTCAACCAGGAAATGACAGCAGGGCCCCTGAGTAGAAATCCTTCCAGAGACGGGGTGGTGCCTTTACTGGCCAGGCATAGTAAACAGTGGCATGTGCCATGACAGGTTTAGCAGGCAATCCAAAATGAGGATACCCCTCCACATTGACAGATTGGAGTGGCCCTGCTCAGTGACCCAGGCCTGATGGTTGCGGATGGTGAGTAGAAGGAGCTATGTGTGATGGGGGCACATCCTGAGCCCTTTGTGGAGCCTTCTGCAGCCTGGACTGCAACAGCAGAGGCTAAACCTGGGAAGGCCGGGCTCGGCGGCTGGTGAGCCACGCTTCTGAGTGAGCCATGGCCCTAAACACTGCTCCTGTCCCCACAGTCCCTGGCTCCTTTTCTGGCTGGGCAGGAGTGATGCCTGAGTAAGTGAATCCCTCAGGAGGGGCCAGTGGGGTTATGTACCCTCAAGAGGGCTGCCTGGGGTCTTGGCTCTTCAGCAGGCTGCCATAGGGCAAGGGACCCTCAGAAACCAGGCAAAGCCTGGAGACCCTGCCAGGAAACTGGGTGGAGATTAGAGCAACTGAGCTCTGGGGCTGGCTCATGTAAATATCATTGTTTATTTGCAATGATTGTCCTGAAATGCCAGATCTGGTGCATT